CGCCACAGCACGCCTGTGGACAGCGTGCCCCCCGCGCGGTTCACCAGATGTGCGTAGTGGTCGGCAGTCGACCCCTTTTACCGCTGATGGCAGGCCTCCACCGGGAACATGTCGACGTAGTGGCCAAGGTTCCGGAGTTGCTCTGGGTGGTGTATAGCCTATAGTGGCGCTTTGGTCGCGCGCTGGCGGGGTATGCTGCGTGGAAGGCCTGCTGGTGCACAGCCTGCGCTGCCGCCAGCTCCTCGAGGGCGGCTTCCCAGTCCGGCGCGGCGCGGGAGCGGCGCGACCGCAGCCGCAAAACTGCCGCCGCGCAGCGACACAAGGCTCGCAGGCTCGCCAGCTCAACGTCTGCTGCGCCGGCAACAGAGGAGATGTCCGATGCGGCTGGGCCGCAGACGACCCTGCAGCAGGCGGTGGTGCTGCCCAGATCGTGATCGAGCGAGGAGAGAAGAAAAACGCGCGGTGTTTTTCCTAAAATACGAGGACCCGGGGCGTCTCAGAGTGGACCTCAATCCGCTTCGAACTGTCGAGCGGAAACTTGAGTCAAAACGCCGAAAATCCAGGGCCCCGGAACGTCTCGGAATGGATTTTAGGGGTTTTGCCTCGAGTTTCCGCTCGAAATTCGAAACAGATCGAGACATTCCGAGACGTTCCGGGGTCCTGGATTTTAGGTTTTTTGACTTCCTGGGGAGCCATTCGATCACTTCCTGGGAACCGAGACATTCCGAGACGTTTTTTTGGCTATATTAATCTTATTTATTAAAAAAGCGAGACGAAAAAACGGTCGGAAACCCGAGACATTCCGAGACGTTCCGGGGTCCTGGATTTTAGGCGTTCTGACTCGAGTTTCCGCTCGAAATTCGAAACAGATCGAGACATTCCGAGACATTCCGGGGCCCTGGATTTTCGGCTTTTTGATTCGAGTTTCCGCTCGACAGTTCGAAGCAGATTGAGATCCACTCTGAGACGCCCCGGGTCCTCGAATTTTTCCATTTTTGATATATAGATATAAGCTCCCCGGTCAGAGTTTGCTTGGGCGTTTTTCCTCCGGGGGCATTCTCCGCTGTTCGCGGTGCGACCGCGCGATCGCTGCAGGCATTTTGGTGGATTAGCCTGCAGAACGGGAGTTGGCACCATGGCGAGCCAGGATGGGCAGCCGGACCTCTTCGAATTGCATCGTTGTTGGTTGCCCTACTTGGCCTTTGCCGTTTCCTGCAAAGGAGAAGAATTTTGGCTAGAGCCATCCGAATCACATCGGCTGGCCTGTCGTGTGCCCCCCATGGGGATGCACTCTTCAGACTCTTCAGTATCCCCAATGCAAGAAGTACCTGAAGAAGTTTTGTGGCAGGCTGGACTGGAGAGAACAGCGCAGATCAGGAGAGGTCATCCAGCGCCTCGCATTCTTATGGAGACGGCCCGGCTGTCGCTTGAACAGGACAGGTATTTTTGGCAAGTATATTTGGACAACTTCACGGGGGGCGAAAAACGTGTTTCCGATGAACCCGGTCTAGTTGGTAAACGAGTCCACCAGTTGGTTGGAAACTACCTGGAGGGAGAGGGGAATCCTTTCGTCCGAAAAGAAGCGTGTTTCAGACTCAGTTGAAGTTGAGGGCCCCCAAGCGGTTTTGCAAGTTGATTCAGGCTACCTTATGGATGCTTGGACAGAAAAAGCGGTCCAGGTAGTTGCGGGAAGGTGGATTCACGTTTTCCAATTCCGCCGGCCTGCCATGAGTTTTCTGGATATGTTGGGGTTTCGTGAACAAAGGAGGTGATGACCTGGCACTTCATACAAAGAGAGAAACCTTCCTTCTTCTAGGTGCTGTTCCCCTTATCCATACCTTCCTAGGGTCTGAGGTCGACGGTTGAATCTGGTGTAGTGATGCCTCCGAAAAAGGAGGAGCGGTTGGCTTTGCAAAGAATCTTTCAAGTGAAGGTATGGATTTTGTGATGTCCTCACGAATGTCAAATTTGACCCTTGGAACTACCCCGGTGCTTGTGATTGCCCTATTTTCCGGTATTGGTGGCACCTTCCGGATTTATGACTTGCTTGATCTTGCGCCCAGAGGAGCCATCGCTGTGGACATTCACACTCCCGCTAAGTCGTCGATGGCCGGGGGTTATTAGAATTTTAAGAGATGTGAGGGACATTACGAGGGAAGACATTAATTGAACAATGGGCTCGTGATTTTCATACAGTTGAAGAAGTCCACCTGTGGGGTGGATTTCCATGTCGAGATTTGAGCAGCGCCAGAGCCTATCGACAGCATCTGGCTGGAAGAGATAGCTCCCTCTTCTTCGAGTTCCTCAGGATTGGCAGACAATTTGCGATGTCTTTCCCGATGAGATCAAAGTGAAACTTGCGGCAGAGAATGTGGCGTCGATGGATGAATGGGCTGCAAATGAGATGTCATGGCACATGGGGACAGAGCCCTACTTTGTGGATTCGGTGCAAGCAGTGCCTCTCAAAATGCCCCGACTCTGTTGGACTACCGAGAGGAGAGGTCATCCCCGATAGACGTTGGAAAGAAATCAAAGCTTGTGCCCCTTATCCTTCAACTGAACACTGGAACACCCCCGGGTATTCTTGGCCTCTACAACACGTTGCAGGTGCCTTTCCCACATGTATGCGGGCGATTTGGAAGTCCTCTCACCCTCCAAAGCCTGCGGGCATTGGTAGAACGGACCAAGATTGTAGGGACAGATGGGCCCTTTCAGGTTTTGTGTACCCGCCTTATCAGTTCAGAGAGGAGTTCTTGCTTTGGAAGGAGAATTCTTGGAGATTGACAAATATGACAAATAGCGAAGAGAGAGGTTTATTGATGGGATATGGTTTTGAACATTGTAGCTTGGCTTGGTCAGCTTCAAAGATTAAACAAGACCCGGGGGGTCATGAACGAGAGAAGTGTTCCTTAATTGGAGATGCCTTTAGCATCTATTCCTTTGTCATCATTGGGGCTGGACTTTGCAAGCGTTGGATTCCCACCATTGAGTATAAGCACTTGTGCCAGAGAATGGGCCTTGCACCAGGTTTCCGAGCCTCCTTACGACTTCAGGCACCCTTATCTCGTTGTCTTCAATACGGTTGTCAGACGGTTGCTGAGGCACAAGGGAATTTCAAGGTAAGGGACCTTAATCTTCTTTTGCTAGGCCGGACAAATTTCACTGGGAGTGATGTCAGAGTTGTTTCAGGAGGCCTGGTGAACCCCAGAGCGTTCCCAAGACAATCTATCTCCGCCTCTTGGTGGATCTGGGAACGCTGTTTCCGGATGAAGTGGCCTCGACCGCAGCGCATCAACCAGCTCGAACTACGCTCTATTTTGATGAGTGTCATCAGAGGCATTAGGAGTGAGCATTGGGTTGAGAAGCGTGTCTTTCATTTGAGCGATTCATATGTCTCAATCAGCGTTGCTTCCAAAGGACGATCTAGTAGCCGAATGTTGAATCGCCTTCTTAAGGTTTTGAACGCACATCTTTTACTTTATGGTGTATCCCTTATCCTTGCCCATGTAGAGTCCACCGAAAA